TTTTTTTTTTAATTCTATAAATGCCATGGGAATTTTATCACGTTTCAACACTTTCTCGGTATGTGATTCCCATAGTGCCCATTAGTGGCCATCTGTGTAAGGTAATACATATTTGGGATGAAATTGATTATAGCCCAAGCACTCTGAATGCTATGATCAGGAAAAGCACGTAAAGTTCACATCTTTTTTTTTCTAATGATCTCTATGTAGCCAAAGATATTAATTTCCAAAGGCAGAACACCCTATCACTCAAGATCCTAATCTCACAATAAATGACACCAGGGCAAAAGGAAGGAGTCTGCAGAACTTTCCACTAAAATTAATAAGTGCTGCTCTCAGGGAATGCTTAGGATAAAAAGAAAATGAGCAGACTTTGGAAGCACAGTGCTTCCTTTATATGCATTAAGTAGACCCATTGTGACTGCTGAATATTCAGAACCTTTTAGAAATTCCTGTTATCGTAGCCACCAACACATTCTGTGTTAACCTACTTATTACTTTTCTCTGTACCTTGCTGACTCTCTGTCATTTATATTTACAATTTGCTTGGTTTTACCTGTGAAAAACCAGGTGATTTCCTTCTTTAAAATGTAATTTCAGGCTGGGGATATAGCTCAGTGGCACAGTGCCTGCCTGGCAAGCGCAAGGTCCTGAGTTCGATTCCCAGTACCAAAAAAAATAAAATAGAGTATAATTTCAACATGCTCACTCTAGTGAAGTCATTCTATTTTTATAGGTTTGTGTGTGGTAAGGTATATCTATATACATTCTGAGTTCATTTCTCCCTTAGAATAGAGCTTAAAAATATACAGATATGTTTGTTTATGTATTTCTAAATATTTCTTGCCTTTCATATTTGGTTACCCCAGTGTTTTGTGAAATATAAAGCGTTCTTTTTTTTCTTTAGGAACTTCTGTGGATTTATGTTTCTAAAGCAGCTCCATGATGACTATTAAACCTTATCATGCCATCCATAAAATACTTAAAATTTGAACACCGCTCCATCCTGATCTTCTCTGGGATGTGAGCCAGAATGATGTCACTGCAAATATCCTAAAAGCAGCTGAAAGAACTTAAGGGATCATTGTCTAAATGTTGGAATACAGCAGTTGTGAGCTAGTATAGTTGACGCTGGACTGTTCTTCCTTTCTTTGCCTTGAACTTCTTGACGATAATTATTCATCAGGTTATGGTAGATTTCAAATGTTTCTCATTAAATGTAATAAAATAATACTGTCTTCTTGAAGGAGGAAATTTACCTTGCTGTTTATATATTATAGACTAAGAGGTCATGCATCAAGTGTATCTAATAGCTGTCCGTATTATTTGGAGTGCAGTGAAAAGAAAATGGCCTACATTGCAGCAATATTTTATAACATTTGGATTTTGGTTTTGCTCAGTTGTCATCAGCTCACTTAGTAAATATTACTGAAACCTGCTCTCAATGCTATGGAGATAATGAAGAAGAACAAGATATGCCCCTATTCTTGAGCAGACATACTGGGGTCACACATTTTAAACAGCTAATCTTGAGTCAGGTTGAATATTCCTTCTCTGAAATGCTTGAGCCTGGAAGTGTTTCATATTTTAGATTTTTTTTTTTTAGATTTTGGAATATTTTATGTACATAATGAGATACTTGGGAATAGGACCCAAATCTAAACACACAATTCATGTTTTTGTATACACCTTATTCATACAGCGTGCAGGTAATTTTATACAATAAATGCTCATATTTCTATTGCACCTATTTTTTTTAAGTGCTGTGTTTATTTATTTATTTTTTTTTGGTACCGGGAATCAAACTCATGATCTTGTGCTTGCCAAGCAGGCACTTATGCCACTGAGCTATATCCCCGGCCCTACACCTATGTTTTGACTACCACCTGTCACATGAGAGTTAGGTTTGTAATTTTCCACTGTGGCACCATGTCAGTGCTCAAAAGTTGTAGATTTTGGAATGTTTTCCTTTTCAGATTTTCAGCGATGTTCAACCTGCATTGTAAGCTGAGCTGTATAAAGATATGCAAAATTTTTTCTGAGCACAGTAGAAGGGAAAAATTTGTTTTAAGAAGTAAAGGAGAATTAGGGGTGTCCCAGAGTGGTGGAACACTTGCCTAGAATGCACAAGGCCCTGGATTCCATCCCCAGCATGGACAGCAAAATGAAGGAGGAGGGAGAAAGAAGCAGTAACTTTGAATTTGGCTTTACAGGATGACGCAGCTTTTACTAGGCAAGAAAATGAGGGATGCATGGGAAAATCAGTAGATATAAAACATATATACACCCATACAAATGCCTTGCACATGCACGCTGGTCTGTATGTCCATTGTGGCAGAGACTGTTGCCTGTCTAATTTAACACACACTCCCATCCCGCTTCTGCCCTGACATCTCCTCTGTGGAGGTTGGAAAAGCAAAATGCTCATAGTTAGGGGCGGCCACGTAACACAGTCTGGCCAACTGGCCATGTTTGAAAATATGCTGAGGACTTTTAGAAATACTTTTCTAAATAAGAGACAGATGCAGTTGGTGTCACCTCCTTATTCTTATTTTCAACATGGTTTATAATTATGCCAGTGACAGCCATTCTGAGACATTGAGAGAATGAAGACATGGTTGAGCCACAAATCTGATGTTCACAACTGCCTGCTTCACTTCTGCTTTGTCAGGAAAACCAAAACTTTGCCTAAGCCATTAGTAGATTTTTCTATTAGTTACATACGGATTTTTCTGTTACTAATACAGATATAAACTATACACACACTTGTAGGACCAAGATGATGTGTGGAGAGCAAGTCTGTGGACGCCATCTTACCTATGCCATGTTTTCATTTCATATCTTTGTGCTACATTTTGTTAATTCCTATGATATTTCAAGCTATCTCATTTACATTTGTTAGAGTAGCCTGTAGTTACCACTCTTGGATATTATTATCGTAATTGTGTTAGAGCACCAAGACCCATGCCCATATGAGAATCAACTTAATAAATGATGAGTGTGCTCTGCCCACCAGTGATTTTCCCATCTCATTCCCTTTCCACAGCCTCCCTTGCTGAGATCCAACATTATTAATAACTCCACAGATTCTAAGTGTTTTAAGCGAAAGGAAAAGTTGTACGTCTCTCACTTTAAATCAAAAGCTAGAAAGGATTAAGCTTTGTGAGAAGCCACATCTAAAGATAAGCTGAGCAAAAACGCTCGGTCTGATTAGCCAAGTTGTGAATGCAGAAGAAAAGTTCTTGAAAGAAGTTAAAAGTGCTTCTCAGGCAAACACAGATGATAAAGTGAAACCATTTTATTGCTGTTATGGACAAGGTTTTAGTGGTCTGGATAGAAGATCAAACCAGCTACAATAGGCCTTTGAACCAAGTCCTAATCCAGTGCAAGGCCCACGCTCTCTTCAGTTCTGTGGAGACTAAGAGAGGTGAGGAAGCTGCAGAAGGAAAGTTTGAAGCAAGCAGAGGTTGCTTCATGAGGTTTAAGGAACAAAGCCATCTCCGTTTAAAGAAAAAAAAGTGCAAGGTGAAGCAGTAAATGTTGATGGAAAAGTCGCAGCAAATTATCCGGAAAATCTAGCTGAGATCATGCCATCCAGGAAAAGATCAAAATACCAACATTCATGGGTATTCTAGCTCTCTTCGATGGCTTTGAGAGATTCAAGACTTCAGTAGAAGAAATAACTGCAGAGGTGCCGGAAATGGCAGGAGAACTAGAAGTGGAGTCTGAAGATGTGACTGAATTGTTGCACTCTCATGTTAAGCCTTTAATTCATAAGGAGCTCCTTCTCATGGATGAGCAAGAAAGTACTTTCTTAGGATAGAATCTACTCATGATGAAGATGCTGTGAACATGCTTGAAATGAAGCATAGGACCTTGACTGTTACATAAACTGGTTGACAAAACAGCAGGGTTTGAGATATTGACTCCAATTTTGAAGAAAGTTCTATTATGTGTAAAATACTGTAGAACAGTATGACGTTCTATAGAGCAAATGTTTTATGAAAGGAAACTCAATCTACAGTGTACACCATTGTCTTGTTTAAGAAACGGACACAGCTACTTTGGCCTTCCACCACCATCACCCTGGTTAGTCAGCAGTCATCGACATCAAGGCAAGATGCTCCACCAGAAAATATATAATTTTCTGAAAGCCTAGAGGATCATTAGCATTTTTAGCCCTAAATTATTTAGATTGTCTTTTAGATGTAATACTGTTGCACACTTCATAGAAAGCAGTGTAGTATGAACATAACTCTTATATACATGCACAGGGAAAGCAAAACATGCATATGTCTTGGTTCATGGCACTGTTTGCTTCACTGTAGAATGAAATTAAAGTATTTTTCAAGTATACTTGTATTGAGTGTATTCCATCTTATGTGAAAGATACCATCTAATGAGCAAGAAATCTATGATAATCTAACCTTCTGCTGTGCAAATGTGGAACAGTGTACAAAAGACTCAACATGTTCTTTCTTACGAAGAATGATGCTGTCACTTTGTTTATTGCTGTCTACATTATTTCTAATTGCATCATGTATGTACACTGTCTGACCCAGCATTAAAGTATAACTTAATCGTATTAGCGTATATACTTACTCTTTTTTAAGCAAGTCAATAATATTGCTTCTTCATTGTGGTAATCTTCCACTGTTTGGTTTTGTATCATTTTGTTTTTCTTACTCACTGCCTGCTCCCTTTAACTGACTTTTTATTTTTCCCTTTTATATGTGTGCATTTTTAAAAATCAGTTCCTTACCTTAGGGAAACATAAAGTAAGATAGCTTCAGGGAGCCTTAGTGGTGTCCAGAAAAAATACTGGATGAAAGTAAAGGATTCTCAAGAGAAAAAAATTCAGTGAGACTGTAGGAATGTATACCAAAATCCATGCATTATCATTAAGCCTCTGACTTTAAAACAAGAACGTACTTCAGTGTTTTTGTTCTTAAAGAATCTCAGTGTTTCTTCTCAAACTTCTTACCATTTATTTCCTCCAGAATCTCCAGCTACTTGGAGCTACAGCCATTGAGGATAAATTACAAGATCAAGTGCCTGAAACCATAGAAACGCTAATGAAAGCAGACATCAAGATCTGGATCCTGACAGGAGACAAACAGGAAACTGCCATTAACATTGGTAATTCACCTAACTCAAGTTTTAACTCTCTGTGCTTCTTAACAAGTTGATATATTTTAATAGATGGACTTGAGGCATTTAAGGATTTGGTATTTCACAATTCCAGGTCTGTAATATTGTCCAGTATATCTATTCATTAATGGCCTCGGTGCCCTTTAGCATTGCAGTGGTTTTATATACAGCCAGGCTGTAGCCCCCGCGACCACATGTGCTTTCTCTCACCTTGCATCCCTGCCTCCGCACAGCTCATCCATGAACAGGGTGCATAGGTAACACTTCTGCAGTTGTCTGGGAGAATTTGGAGACTGAGCCTGTGACACACGTGTGTACTGACTCTTATTGTGTGAATAAAGGTTGTTCCTGACAGAGGAAGGAAGAAGGCTGCCATTTCTCATTCATCCTAGAGTCATTTCCAATTTTTCAGAAAGCGTCTCTATTAGTTAACTTAGGCTGCATCACAGAATCTCACAGACCGGGTAGCTTAGACAACAGAAACCTATTTTTTCACAGTTCTAGGGACAAAATCCAAGATCAAGGCTCCTGCAGAGTTGTTTGGGGTGAGACCTGGCTTGTAGACAGCTGCCTTCTTGTGCCTTCACATGGCCTTTCGTCTGTGTACAAGCGCTCCAGGGGTCTCTCATTAGGGTACCAGTCTTTAGTCCCTGGTGGTGCTATAAACAGAATAAACCTGGTGGCTGATAGGACGAGGCTGGGAAATCTAAGGTCAAGGCACAAGCAAATTTGGTGTTTGATGAGGATCTGCCTGCTTTTTGGTTCATAGATGGCATTTTCCAGCTGTGCCCTTACATGACAGAAGGAGCAAGCTGGGGCCTCGTTCGTAGAGGCAGCACTCCCATCACAGCAGTGTCTGACCGCCTGCTAAAGCTCTGCTTCCTAATAACATCACATTGGTAATAAGATCGCAACATTCCAATTTTGGGGCGACATAAACATGCAGACAGTAGCAGGGCCCTCCCTTATTACCTCTTTGGGCTTCAATGCCTTCTTCAAGGCCCTGTGTCACATTACAGGCGAAGGCTTCAGCGTACAGATCTGAGGGTGAGGGAGACCCAGTTCAGTCCATAACAGAAGTTTTACTGAAAGCGAAGTTAACAATTGGCATTACAGGCCTATAGTACCAATCATGTGCCAGATTTGTTTTTCTAAATTGAGTAATGAGCACAGCTTTAACTGCCTGATATTGAGCCTGTACAGTATATATGAAACTCCCCCAAAATTGAGGAAACCATTTTAGAAGTGTTTACAACATGAAACCACATTTTTTGGAAAGTTATTTTTTAAGTGTTCTCTAAAACAAATTCAGCTAATACTCCTTTAAAAAGTGTTAGCAGTCAGCCTAAAGTATCCTGTAAATACAGGATATGTAAATACAAGTAAATGTAAAACTGCACTACAAATGCATAGTAAATTGACATTAATAGAAAGTTAATTAATTTTAGAAAAAGCAGCATACACAGTTATTAACAGGGATAGGGACATCAAAGGATTGTGATTATCCTAAAAATTCACTTGATTTTAAAACAAACTGCAGAACATTAAATCTACAGGCCACTCAATTTGTTAATTTTGATCTTGAAAATTATCAGTAGTGTTAGGGCCAAAATGAAAAGGAGATGTATGAGAAGAGACTTGTGGTGAAATGCAGAATACATTAGAACTGGGAGACCTGAAAACACAAATAAATAATAAGACTACAAACAGAGATCATATGGCTTGAACGGTATTAGGGAAATAGGCAATCAGAGGTACACATCGTGTGGGATATGTAATCTTAGCCGATACTTGTTCCTAGAAAAAAGCAGGGAAGATTCTTCCATTCAGTAAATGGCTGTAGCATCTGCAAAGCTAGACTCCAGGTAAGTGCCAGGAACACACCAGGAAGCAAAAGAAACCAAAATCTCTGCCCTGTATAGGAAGCATACAGTAAAGTAAACAGAAAAGTGGGGATTATATTAGATGGCAACGATTGCTGTTTAAAAAATAAAAAACATAAAATAGGAGGTGATCAGACACTGCACAGAGGAATTCAGCTGTAAGTAAGGCGGTCAGGAAGAACTCATGGAGTGACATTTGAGGGGCGACCCGAAAGAGAGAGGGGTTCATAACAGGGTGATTCAATGTGTTTTCAAGATAGAGCCAATAGGATTGACTGGTAGATTTAAGGTAGGATATAAGGGGGAAAAGGAATCATGGGTAACTCCAAGGCTTTTGGCCTTTACAACAAAAGATTGAGTTGCCATTGACCAAGATGAGGAAGACTGAGTTCTATCAGGTTTTCTGGGAGGATGGTCAGGAGCCTGGCTTTCTGAAATACTGAGGATGAGATGCCTGCTTCCTGCCCAGGTACCATCTGTTAGGTAAGTGGTCGGTTACAAAGGTCTGGAGTTTAGAAGAAAGGTCTGAGCAGGAGATGAGTTTCGGAATGGTAAACACTTAGGGCGGGGGTTTCAGTGACAGAGCACTGGAGTACACATTCTGAGGCTCTGGGTCAAGTCTCTAGCAGAGAGAAAGGGGGAGGGAGATCCAAAATGGTAAACACCTAGATGACAGTTAAAACCGTGAGATGGAACGGGATCACGGAGGGAGGGGTGTAGATGGTTATATTTTCTAGTCCGGTTGACAGGCTTACCGGTTTTTATCAAGCCACATTCAGCCGTAGCAAGCTGGTGGAGAAAAGCCAGAGTTGCATTTCACAAAGGAGAGATTTTTGCTGTGCAGTGGATGCAACAAAGCAGGAGAGGTGGCAACACAGACAAGGAGAGGCTGTCAGCTGCCCCTCCACAGCAGGGGAGGGTGGAGGGTCAGGATGCCAGCAGTAGCCCTCCGACCCGCTGTACGCGTCTCTGCAAACAGCCATTTGCCCACCTTTGCTCTTCATGTTCGTCGCCAGGGAGGGTGTTCTGTACATGTTTGTCAGCTTTCAGGACACTGAGGATTCCTAACATCTTTCCTTGTTTTTCAAGATAGCCTCAAAGGATGTGCTTGTATCGTGTCCTTCCTCTGGCAGTCAAGAACCTTAAAAAAATTTCTTTTACCAAGACATGTTCTCGCACCTTTATTTCACTCTCCTCATTCTTTTTTTTAATTTTTACTTTCTTATTAGTACATGTACATAAAAGTACTTGGTACCTAGTCATTCTACTCATCATGGGGATCGGCACGTGAACACGACATACCATTCTTTTTACATCCCCTTCCCTTCCCCTCCCTCTGTGCCTTGCTTACCTTTCCATTTGCAAAAGATCAGCTCGTTGTTAACTTCCTGTAGACCTGGAGAGCAAGCAACTACCATCCCTCCGGATAAAATCCACTCTAGATAACATGATATTATTGTTGTTTTAACATCTTCATTTCTCTCTGGAAAAAGTAATTATACCCATTTACTCCATGTTTGTACATAGGACACTCCTGCAAACTTTTGAAGAAGAACATGGGAATGATTGTTATAAATGAAGGCTCCCTTGATGTAAGTAAAACTGGTTCTCAGAACCTCCTCTTAGAATATAAGCACCCTGTAGTATTTTATTTTATATTCAGATAGCTGTGGACATATTTTCCTGAAGTTAAAAGATACTTTAATCATGATTTTTCTCCTTTACCACAATCTGCAGTTTTGAACAGCATTGATAAAATTGATCCAGGGTTTGTACTTGTGTTAGCTAAAAGAAATCACCAAATGATGTCCTTGATGTGGAGAGAGTGAAAGGTTACCCTACAAAGCATTCTCACAGGAGGCTTCTGATGGACTGCAGCTTGCTCAGATCTGAGTATTCTTTTGTATATTAAGCCTTTTACGTCAGCGTTAGCCCCCAGCAGTAATATATATTAAAAATTGTGAAAGCTACTAAACAACACAAAAAACCCACTCTTGGGTAGGAAAGGCTTGTTGTTTTATTATTATGTTTTGTTTTTTAATATCCAAACGTCTGTGATAAACATAAATTCCTAAGATAATCTTTTGCATGGCCACGATCACTTGTCATATTTGGGGAAGAGTAAATATTTATTAGGATACAGTGTAATATAGAAGTTAATAAAATAAACATGGGTCAAGTGACCTGTAAAGACTTTTGAGGTAGGGTGACTATCTGTCATCTAGGGTGGAAGACAGGGCAGGAGAGGTGAGGATTACACAATGCTTGAAGCAGTGACTGAAGCCAAGAGCAGAGCAGAGCAAACCTGGTCACTAGGGACACTGGCGACACTGAGGGGCGAGCTACGCAGAGGGATGGGGAAGAGGTGACTGGTGTAGGCAGTGTTAAGAAATCAGCCACGAAACAAATTATGAGCATGAAATATTTGACTTCAGACGCTAAGCTGCAATGGTAGCCTGTGTCCTGATTATTCACCCTCAAAATAATCCTCTGATTTCTTTCCTTTCCTTGTGACACTTTGAGAAACCGGTTAACTTAAAGAACAGTAAATGATTTTGCAGCTGTATAAGTTGTTTATGCCTTAAGTTATCAAACCAGTACTTTTGGTGAACTAAGCTTTAATTCTAAAAACAAAAACCAGAACAGCGCAGTCAGTGGATGGGTGGAAATCTTTTTCACTCATTTAGCACGCACTGAGAACATCCCGCTAAACCGTGACAGTGGTGGGCTCTGCACCATTAGAGCTTACAGTTGCCTCTATCTTCCCCTCTTTTTTTTTTTTTGGTACCGGGGATCGAACTCACAACCTTGCACTTGCCAGGCAGGCGCTTATGCCATTGAGCTATATCCCCAGCCCCATCTTCCCCTCTTGTGTATATTAATTTTGAGTTAGCATAGCCAAGTTATTAACTTTTGAAAAATTATGACCAAGACAGCCCTGCCCTCTAAAAGCTTACACATAGTAAGTAAAGTAACATGTATATGAACATCAGTACCGAACGGGTACGTAAATCAGACAGATAGTTCACAGTGGAAATACTCTGAAGTTTAGAGAAGTGTTTATAGAGAGTAGCATCTGGTTACATGGAGATGAATAACGAGTAAGGAGGAGCACTGGCAGCAGGGAGTTCTTGTCAGGAAGTTCAAGGCATATTTGGAGCTTGAGGAAAGGAACGCTGAACTTGAACATAAAGTTAAAATTTTTTAATATTTTTATACGAATAAATGTAGGCACCTAATTAAAATTGAACTTACAAGAAAAGAAATGTACAGATGGTAGAAAGTGGATCTCCCACCTTTGTATCTGAGCTGCCCAGGGTACCTCCCTAGTGATGGCCACTGGTTCCATAACTATATGTGCCCATCCAGAGCTATTCTGTACATCTAAGGCATGTACGTCTGCATACCCCTTGTTATTAAATAGCACGCTATGCACACTGCTTTAATTCCACCTTTCTTACTTACTGTATCTTAGCAAATGATCTGTAATAGTATAGATAAAGCTATACAGTGGTTTTTTAACAGTAGCATGGTATTTGTAGGGTACATATAAAGAAATGCCGGAGTTAAAACTGGAAAGGTGATCTCAGGCCAGATGTGGTGGGCCAGGTTAAAGGACTTGCCAGCATGGGAAGAGAGCTTGTACGTAAGAGGTGTGGTATGTTGAAGCAGTTATACAGAAGCAGACTTGGAAGGGTGGGGAGGTGTGGGTTGCAGGCAAGGGACCAGGAAAGCGTTAAGTAAGAGGGAGCGGGGCCAGTGCAGCAAGTGATATGGGACGGTGTGAGAGAAATTCTGAGACTTATCCCAAGTGGTCCCTGAAGAAAGAGCCATCCAAGGTCCCAGAACTGGGACACAGCATTGTGGAAACTGCAGTGAAAATATTCCAATCTTCCTTACGCTCTTGTCAGTAACATGGCTCACATGGGGGTGCGTGGTTTTTTCTTACATTAAAAAAAAATCAAAGACTAGAACCTGTCACATTGAAGCCAAAGCAGGACAGGTCGTGCCCGAGTTGACACAGGGTGCTTTATGTCTGGATCTAGACTTTTCAGCTTTTGTAGGGTGTGGCTGTACATTGCTTCATTTATTTTGTTCTGTTCCATCATTTTTTTCAGTTCTTGGACAAACATGTTCTTTAAGTGTTTAAGTATCGAGTAAGTTAAAATAGTAACCTCAAGGAAAAAGTGAAATACCAAAAACATTCAAGGTATGCATCAAGACAATGGGATTTATTTTTCTTTTTGAGATTTCTAAAGTGATAACTCAAAATTAATAAACACCTAGAAGGTATTGCACTATTTCTGCTGGAGCAAACTTAGAAGTGTCCAGTGAACACATGATTTCAGGGAAAGCAGCAATTCTGTCTGCTTATTCTGGGTTATTCTTTCTAAGTGCCCAGAAAAGTACTTGGCACACAAGTACACTTCAAACATTTGAGAAGCAAATTTCTGCTTAGTTTTATTTATTTTTTTTTTTTTTGGTTTTTCTCCGGTACCGGGAATCGAACTCACGACCTTGCGCTTGCCAGGCAAGCGCTTTTGCCACTGAGCTAAATCCCCAGCCCCTCTGCTTAGTTTTAAATTAAGGAATTACTTTTTCAAAAAGTTGTACATCAGTTTTAAGTTTTGATAGTGACTCATCATATCTGATATTTTTAAAGGAGAATGGTTAGCAATCTCCTTATCAATTGAAGCAGCAGTTTGAAGACAGACACTGTAGCTGAATAGATTAACCCAAATTTGTCCAAATCCTGACTGCCAAGCACCGTAACACTGCTGTCTGGGGCAGGTTTTTCTCCTAGGGAGTTAAGTGGTAACTTTACAGATCTGACTGTGTGGGGTCAGACCCACCAGCGTGCACTCATTTATTTCTCAGCAGGAAGGGAAACATCACTTTGCATAGTGCCTTCTGATCTTGTATCACAAAACCCATGGCTGTTATTGCGGGCACCAGAAGTGCTAGAGTGCCTGTAGGTAAATCATTGTTTGTTTTCCCATTGCCCTGGGGCAAAAAAGCATACTATCTGCATTCACATTGTACTGATAGATAATAAGAAGATGGAGGATTATTACTCCAGGAACACAAAGAATAATTAACAAGTCATAAACTTGGAAACATATTGTCTTAGGAAATAAATTGTGAGTGCATGTTTTGTCAAGTGACAACTTTAACGAATATACTCAAATTATTCTCTGAGACAGCATAGTGGTGAAGAGCGCCCTTCTGCCCCCTCCTAACTGGGACCTTAAAGAATTAAAATTAATTTCCCTGAGCCAGAGTATTCCTGTCTATAAAGAGAATATATTCCTTGGCGTGGGATTGACATGCTTAGCACACTCCATGGTGCATGTTAAAAAGAGATGTTACAAAATTTTGTAGAAAGAATACTCTTATTTTGCATAATGATTATTTTTGTTATGAAAACTAAGTTGTTCTTCTGTCTTTTTTCCCCAAGGTGACAAGTTAGAATAAGTGTGGGTTCTCTTTTATGTAAGTGATACAAACTGTTCAAACTTTCTACCAAAATCTTATCCCTAATGCTGTTAAAATTGAAAAGAGAAATCTCCTTTTTTTATGCTGGATTTAAACTATCATATTTGAGGATCTTAAAATTTCACATAGGACATTCTTTCTGCTAGTGATCCTGCTAATAGAAGTCTTTGTCTCTCATAAAGTAGATCATCACTTAGAAATGCCACTGGGATTTCTAACTTTCTCTTTTTGAGTTTGAATGTGACTTTCCTTTCACAAACATAAGGCTTCTTGACAGTTTTGAACCTTTAAATAAGTGCATAAAACCAAACTATAGTTAAAGGTACAAACAGAGCTGGGCGTGGTGGCGCATGATGTAATCCCAGCACTTGGGAGGCTGAGGCAGAAAGCATCCTTGCAAGTTCGAGACCAGACTGGGCTACAAAGTGAGCTCAGGGCCAGCCTGAATTGCATAGCAAGACCCTTTCTCAAAAAGATAAAATAAGAAAAGAAAAAAAAAAAAAAAGATACAAACAGAAAGAGAGGCTTGCCCCAAGACCTGATGGGGAACCTGACAGGTTTGTCTGCCTCCTTTAATTCCCACCTGCTTTCACTGTAAGAGCAGCGCCCCCTGCTGGTTGTTGCCCTGGAAAGACGCTGGATGTTCTCACCCACTCCACCACTCATAAAATCTTGTGTCAGGTTTCTGAGGTAGAAAGCTGGGGTTTTTTGCTTGTTTGTTTGTTTGTTTTTATTTAGAAAATAAGAATTTCATGGATGAGTATCATTAAGAATCATCTAAACTTTATCAGAACCTAGTAGCTATTTGCAATTAATAGATTATTTAAATAATTTGTACTTTTTAAATCATACTACTTTGAACCACTTTTTTAGCAGTTTGGATTACCCTCGTAATATGAGACATTCCTTAAGTGTCTACAAAGGCAGGAATTTCAAAATACTGGCTTGATGACTATGTTATACTTTTTCCCTAACTCCATGGCAGTGCCTAGGAAGTATCCCACAAAATTGTCAGAAACCCCCTGAACTTAATAACCTATAGCCAGGGCTCTCTTTTTTCATCTCTTTTATATATTTCAGTGTGTCATAAAACAGT